CCTAGAATACATACAGTGGGTAGATGAACCCAAATGCAAATCCACTGCAAACCCAGCCTTTCAGTGACTCCCCACTGTCGCTGTCGAGAGGACAAAGCCCCGGCCCTTCAAGTGGCCCACCAGGCCTCTGTGGTCAGCCCCTCCAGCTGCGCCTCTCCTATTTCTTAACTCTACTTCTGCATAAGCTCTCCCCTCTCCAGAGAAGGTTAATATTTACTGAGTGACAGAGAGGCAAAATAACCCACCAACAAAATGTAAGAGGCAGCATTTGAATTCTACAGGCCACGTTTCTAACCACAGTGCTGTGCTGCCCGCCTACTGCTGTTGCTGTAACCCTAGTGCCTGACACACACCAGATAGTCAATACATGTGTGTTGAATTAATGAATGAATAGCCAGGGAGGGGGTAGAAAAAAAAAAACAAACACTGAAATATAAGTTACCCAGTGGATCTTATGCCTTTTTCCTACTGCTTCTCAGAAAGTCTGGGGACTATTACAAAATGACCTCTTTACGGTTTCCAGTGCACATTAGCACATTAAAGACTTAAGTAAGAAGTGCCTCAAAAAAAGGTGCCTGTTTAACTTTTTTCAGTAGAAGAGCTCAAAAATTATCAGAGAAATGTAAATCAAAACTACGATGAGGTATCACCTCAGAATGGCCATCAGTCAAAAGTCCACAAATGACAAATGCTGGAGAGGCTGTGGAGAAGAGGGAACCCTCCCACACTGCTGGTGGGAATGCAGTTTGGTGCAGCCACTGCGGAAAACAGTATGGAGATTCCTCTAAAGACTAAGAATAGACTTACTGTATGACCCAGTAATTTCTCTCCTGGGCATATATCCAGAAGGAACTCTGCTTCAAAATGACACCTGCACCCCAATGAAGAGCTCCTAACTGTATTTGAACACAGAACTTAAAAAAAAAGAAAGAAAGAAAAGAACACCTTCCAAAGCCCTCCTCTGTGAAGTACTGAAAGGGCTGCCACTGCACCCGTCGCTGTCTGAGAGCACACAGTGTGCACCATCGGTCTCACGATGGTCTCAAGTATTTTCTTTCACTAATGGAATTTTAGGGCTGGAAACAACCTCTGCACTTTTCCATACGAAGTCCCCCATTCTATAGTAGCAAGATTACGTGGCCCAAGGTCACTCAGCTTATTTGTGGCAGAAACAAAACCAGAACCAAGGTCTGGCCACACCCACCCACTGGGCTCTTCCTATCACTCCATGCCAGTGAGTCTCAGTGTGCAGTGACCTCTGTCCCTCAGGGGACATTTGGCAATGGCTGGAGACATTTTTGATGGGCACGGCTGCGGGGAGAGGCCAGGGATCCTGCTAAATATTCCCCAAGGTACAGGACAGCCTCCCACAGCAAAGAATTGTTTGGCCCAAAATATCACTAGCGATGACACTGAGAAACCCTGCCCCACACTGTACGAGAAGAAAAGTGAACCCTCCAGTTAACAGACTAGAGCTTTCTCATCAATGTTTCCCACTAACCTGCACAGGGCTGCACCATATTGGAAATAATGCAGGCGTATGAAACTGAAATTGTTCTTTGAATCCATGAAAATAATTTCTGTTGGAAAAGACTTACATGAAAAAATAATTTCCCTCAGCAAGGCTTTATCAAAATGGATTTGGATATTATCAACTAAAAAAAAAATCCAGAACACTTTTCTTTTCCATACAATTCCCTCAGAAGTATGCTTGAATATATTAACATTCAAAAAACATTGCATTTACTAAGCAAGACCTCAGAGTAAGGCCTGCAAAATCGCTGAAGAGCAACAGAAATGGGCCAGCCCTAAGTGTCAGAGCCTCTGCTCTTGGTGGGAGACTCTCTCCCACAGGGGCCCTGAACCCCTGGTCTCAGGTAATTTCCCCTCTCATTAGGTCAGTTTGAGCACAACCCTCCTTCTGTGTTTGCTTGTTTGTTTCAGTGGGAGACTTCGGAAGCATCATAAACTAAGCCTGGGAAAGGACTGTTCGGGGTGACATGAGGACAGGGTCCCGCCCGCCTCGGCGCTACCCAGAGGATGCCCAGAAGGCGGCCCCTGCTCTCCAAGAAAGCAGCGCTCTCTCAGGAGTATGTTCTCATCAGTGTCTCGCTGGGTTAATGTGCCACAGTTACGTAGATGTTACCACTGGGGAAGCTGGTTAAAGGGTACAGTCAAGCTCTCTGTGCTATTTTTGTAACTTCCTGTGAGTTTACACTTATTTCAAAATAAAAAGTTGTGGGGTTTTCTTTGAGGGGATGTGATTGGTAGCAGGTCTATCTTGGATTTGTCTGTGGTCCTTTGCTAAAACAGAAACACCTGATTACCTGATTGGTGAGCATGAAAGCGTATGAAGAAGGCATCATAAAGTGTCACTTACACCACAGAAGTGATGTACTCACCAGATCCTCTTCCAAAGTGACAAGGAGCTAAAAAGGAATGAGACCCAAAGAAGTCTTGATGGAGAGAGGATGGGTAGGAGGAAGGGACTAAGCACAGGTGGTTCCCCAGGTAATAACCTCACAGGTGCTCTCAGAAAACTGTGAGACAACAAGGGGCAGGATATTTGAGAGTTCTTCGTGTCTAGAAAAGAGATACCAGAAGAAAAAACACGAGAGAAAGACACAAGTAAAGACTTGGTAGGGATGGCATGACTTGAACCAACCAAGTCCCACAGATTTAGGCGCTATCCATCCAGCTAAGGTGTGCCCAGGCACAATGGAGTATCTTGGGGGTAGAAAGAAATGGGAGTCGGGAAATCTGGAGTCACATTCCAGATGTGTCCTATCACACATTTGTTGTGTCTCCCTGGACAGGTCCCTTGGGGACTCAGTTTCCTCATCTGAAGTCAGGGAATTGGTACTAAACTGCTAAGATCCCTGCCTCTCTGTCTCTGCCTGTGTCTAAGACCCTTCTAAGTGGTAGGACACCCTCTATTAGTTTAATAAAAAATAAAACCTAGTCATGGCTGGCCACAAGTTTCCTGTGGATTTTCCAGTGCAAGTTAGCTCCTTAATAAATGAGAGCAGAACAGCATGGCTGTTTTGGTACTAGGGAGGATCCGCTCAGAAGCCAAAGAGCTCTTGCTCCCACCCTCTCAGACTCATCCTCAACCATGGATGCGCTGGGCCCCACAGACACAATGACTTCCCAGGGACAAAGCTATCTGAGAGAAAGGAGTTCAAAGGCCTAATGTCAGAACTTCCAGAGGCTTGCCTTCCCCCAGCGAAATGCGGCCTCTGGAAGTGTTCAAGGTCTGCTGAGTCCTGCATGACACACCCAAACCGCAGGGGAGCAGTTTCAGAAGAAGTAAGAGTGAGAGAATTCTGGGCTTGGGGGAGCCGTCTTGTGGGTATTTTAGGAAGAGGGTATGATGTATGTCTATAGTACCTCTGTTTTGCCTTTTCACATTTTGAAATCCAATCAAGTATTTGTATTGCTGGCATTATTAAAAAGCCTGTGGTTAATTCAGGCAAGGCTTATGTCTGGATTATGTAACAGGGTTTTGAAATGTGTTAATGCTTCATCAGCCGCATAAACGCTTTTCCAGAGCTGAAATTCACCACATGGTGTCCATAGATCTTGGGCCAAATCAGAAGGATTCTTTACATGCTAATTGCTTTACTTTCATTAAGGTGCTGTGCATGTTTGAGATGTAAGGGGTTGTGCCGGGTGCCAGCAACGAAGAGTATCAGCCATTGCCTGGGTTGTCAGCCCACTTTCAAGTCTCCCAGGATGCTCAGCCTGCAGGCAGAATAATGGTCATTTCAACATCCCCTCTTCATTTTTAGAGATAATTTCTGCCGCAGCTAATCTGCTCAGCATCATTTAGCACTGTTCTCTAGTATAACAAGGAGCAAGGTAGCAAGGATGTGTCGGGGGTAAGTTAGTTAACCTAAACTAACAAGACCAACATTTATGTCTCTGTCAGCATTATTAATAATTAAAAATAAAGTTGAATGACTTTAGGAAAGTTTGTCCAAGTTTAAGAGAGCTGAACTGCCTCACTAGCCAACGAAAAATAGGTCTTAGCTGGCGTTGAACCTCCGTCGTGCATTTCCTTTCCCTCTTTCTTCGTTCTAACTTTCTGCTCATTTATGAATAGTACCAAGAGATTTCCTCTTAACTATGCTGCCTCCTATTTAACCCTCCCAAGCTCTCTTCCCTCTTGGTCTCTTTTCCTCTATCTTTTGCTCACCTCTGATCACCCACCCCAGCATTTACCTTTATCATAACCTTTACCTTATAGGGAACAGGAGATGGGACCTGACAGCATGGAAAGACCATGTCGAGATCAGTGTTTTAAAAGATAACTGAGCTGCACTGCAAAAATGCAGAAGTGGAAAGAGAACAGAAGAAAGAAAAGTCAGGAGGGAAATAGCAAGGGCCTGAATCAGGACAGAAATGACAGTAAAGACCAGGTAGGAACAGATTTCTTTTGATATACTGAAAGTAGACTGAACAGGATATGGTTCCTGACTGTAGGGCAATGATAAAGAGGAGAAAATTAAAAATAATTTGAAGTTTTCTAACTGCACTGATAGGTAAATAAGGTTCCTCTAACAGAGACAAGAAGTGAGGTGAGGGATCAAGTATGCAGGAGTTGATGGACCCGAGTGCAGCCACACAGAGCTGCACTTAGGGGTGATGTCCAGGATGCCAGTGGACAACCAATGTTCTAAGTGGGCAGGAAAACATCTAGATTTAAAGAGAATCAAGATTAAGAAAATCTTCCAATCATTTTCTCCTTTTCTTCCTCTTTTCATTTTACTGAAATAAAACATGTAAGAAGAAGCTACATGTTTGAGAAGCTACTGCATGCCAAGTCCTGGGATAGACATTAGAAAAAATAATAATAAAGTAAACAGAGTGTCTCCTCAGGGCATTTGCAAGCTCTGGTGGGAAATGACACCATAACAATGAGGGGAGGGTTCCAGAGGAGGCTTGCACTCTGGTTCAACATCCTACTCCCAGACAGCCCATCCCTTGCCTTCACTCACCTGCTCTGGGTACTTGCTACCAATGATCTCGGCTACAGTGTTGAAGGAATCAGCATCTGGGTAGTTCTTTGCCCCCATCTTCAGCTGAATGACAATTCTGCTCCCACGAGAAGCCATTCTTGACATCATTTCTGCATCTTCCACTGTAATACACGCTGTTGGGATCTTTGGCACACCGTCCTGGTATTCCTGAATACCTGTGTGAGGACTTGAGAAAAGAAGCCACCAGGTTACCCTGGAAGTGGAAATGGGCCTAAAGTATTTTTTAAAAGCACTCATATTTGACATTTGACTTTCACTGATCTTTGTTTGCATGTGAGGAATGGAAAGGGTGGGCAATATTGATTTCCTTGCTTTTGATGTGAATGTAATTTTTCTCTTTGATAAAAATAACTTAGAAATTTCAATTTTATAATAATTTCATTGAAAACATTACAGGAAGTTTATTTTGATAATTTGAATGATTCTTTAAAAAAATTGCAAATTCCCCCAAACTCAGTGCCTTCATGGCCAAGAGGTGAACACAAATGTTCAAGGAGACAAAGGGAGCACTAAAGTCCACTGAGGCTGCAGACCAGAAGACCCACGTGTCAGGAAGAAAACTGGCCCAGATCCACCCTGCTCTCCGGACACTGACTGGCTCAAGGGCTCCTCTCTTCCCACCCAAACACAGAGGTCTGTATATGTAGCCCTGTGTAGGGGCAGAACACTGTGCAGGAAAGCTATAGAACAATGTCTGGGGAAATGTTTGTGTTCCCATGAAGAAAAGTGCCAAATAAACCCAGGTCCCTGATTTTACTGCTCCAAGAAAAATAAAACTACTATAATTTTGGCATAAAATTTGGGGCATGAAATATCACCCCAGCTGGTCAAGCTCTTTTCCTACTAATTTCCTGATGCCCCTTACATGACTAAGAAACACTTGTGATTGAAATTTATATTAATCTACTGTTGATTCAACCTCTCTACAAGCTAATTGAGTTTATCAAACTCATTTCCTAAAATTTCAAATTGTGCCCTTTTACCTTTAACTCCAAACCCTCCCTAACCACGGCTCCCTGAGGACCACAGCTTCTGAGTGCACACCATATCCCATCAGTTTGTTCCTGTCTTCTGTTGAAGCACAAGCTAACAGACTCCCTTTCCAAATGAATTTTCCTTTTGATATTTTCAAACTTGTTTCAGGTTGTCTTATATTTAGAGAAAAGCCTTTCTCTTCCTTTCAGCCACAACACACTCTTCTCCAGTAGAAGCAACTCCAGTCTTCATGCGTGTAAACACGATGATCCAATCTTATCACCGCTTTTTTGGTGTGACTATTGTTGTGACAAGTGTATCCGGTGACTACTTACTTAGAGAAAGGACATGGCAAAATGATCAAGAACAGAGGTTCTGAGGCAAGACTGTTCAGGTTCATATCTGTGATCTGCTGCTAATTGGCCCTGGGCAAGTTACACATCTTTGCTTCAGCGTCTTCATCTATGATTGGAGGTGATAATTATCATACCTATTTCATAGCTGCTTTGCAAATTTAGTTAATTTATACAAATAAATCACTTTTCCTGGAACATAGTAAGCACCCATAATAATAAATGTTAAATATTTATTATGCTAACTTGCCTGTTGCAATAACCTGCAGAGAGAGAGACTGTGTAATCCCAAATCTTTAGGCTCATCTAAGTACATCCTTTATGGGACATATGTCAAGTGCTAACTGAAAATTTTATTCTTCATAAGAGAAAGACAAAGACTTAGAAATCTGAAATTTCTAAAACAGAAAGCCTGAATCTGAATTCCTGTTCTGGAATATGCCTAATCCACTCTGACTTCTGGTTTAGGGGAGGCCAGAGAGTCACATAACCAAGGTCAAATCCTGGCTCTACCACTCTCTACCTGCCAGACACCAAGCAAATTAGATTACTTCTCTGTCTCTGAGTTCCCACATGTGAAAGGTGGAGAATAATTTTAGCACTGACCTCATAAGATTGCTATGAGTAATAAAAGAGATAGTACGTGTAAAGGATTTAAAAGTGCTTGGCACACAGGAATCACTTAGTAAACATCAGTTGTTATTATTATTTCTTCAGTGGTAATTTTCTCCACTGAACTGGTAGAGTGATTAATGACCAAAAGTATTTCGAGACATGTAGGAAGACAATCTAAATATTTATTATTCATATTACCTTACGTGATGTCTAGGATTCAACAAACTCTCCTTGTTCTCAGACTCTCTGACTCAAAAGGAGGTCAGTGTAACACTTCTTAATAGGTTACTTTAAATAATGTTTCTAAACAAATTGGTACTAATAAGTCACAAGTAAGAGTTCTTAATGTGGAGACAGTGAACTGGGCATAAGCTCATGGTTCCACTGACGAAAATGGCATCTTTCAGCTGTGATTCTGAATTCAAGACATAACAGGCTTCTATTTGTTTCTGCCACTAAGCATGTTCTCCAGTGGTGGAGTATCCAGCATTGTTTCATAGAAGTAGGCAGAATGAAGACTCAACAGTTTAAGTAAAATGCCTGCACTTTCACTGTCAAGTCCTATACACAGGAGGTGATCAGCACAAACATCACCTTCCTGATCTGATTTACAGGCCCCACCTGCAATTTAACAATAACAAAGGATAATCTACAAAGGAAGCCATAAAAAATCAAAATAAGAACATTTAAAAATTAATACCAATCCTTCACAAAGTCTTCCAAAAAATACAAGAGGAGGGAAAACTTTCCAACTCATTCTGCAAGGCCGCTATTACTAATAACAAAGCCAGACACAGACGCCACAAGGAAAGAAAACTGCACACCAATCTCCCTCATGAATATAAATGCAAAACAACAACAAAATACAAACAGATACAGCAACATATGAAAAGAACTTTACACAATGACCAAGTGGGATTTATTCCAAGAATGCAAGGTTGATTTAACATCAAAAAATCAGTGTAATGTATTATAATAATATAATAAAGGACAAAAACCACATGATCATCTCAACAGATGCTAAAGGAGCCTCTGGCAAAATCTAATACTCTTTTATAATAAACACTCAACAGACTGAGAATGGAATAAAACTTCCTCAACCTGACAAAAGGCATCCACGGAAAACCCGCAGCTAACGGCATACTCAGTGGTAGAAGACTGAACGTTTTCCCGAGATCAGAAACACAGGTTCTAGTCTACCTTGTACTAGAGGTTCCAGCCAGGAAAATCAGACAAGAAAAAGAAATAAAAGAAATCTAGATTGGAAACAAAGAAGTAAAACTATCTCTGTTCCCAGATGACGTGGTCAAGTATATAGAAAATCCTGAGGAATTCACACACACACAAAACCAAACAAAAAAAACTATTAGAACTAATTAACAAGTTCAGTAAGGTTTCAGCATACAATATCAATATACAAAAATCAACTGTACAGTAGTAATACTACACAATGCAATATAGCAGCAATACAGTAGTAATGAACAGTTTGAAAATTAAGTAAACAACTACATTTCCATTAGCAACAAAAAGAATAAAATGCTACAAATAAATTGTGCTCTACACTGGAATTTGACACAACATTGTAAAATGATTATAACTCAATAAAAAATATTAAAAAAAAGAGTTCATGTGAAAAATAAAATAAATGAAGCTGAAAAGTTAAAAAACAAACAAATAATACTACAAATAAAGTTAACAAAAGAGGTGCAAGATTTGTACAATGAAAACTGTGAAATATTGTTGAAATAAAGTAAAGAAAACCTAAATATATTGAAAGATTCCCCAGGTTTATGCATTGGGAGACTTTACATTCTTAAGATGGTGATACTCCCCAAACTGATTTACAGATTCAGTGCAACCCCTATCAAAATCCCAGCTGTCTTTTTAAAAGACATTTATAAGCTGTTTCTGAAATTCATATGGAAAAGCAAGGGACTCAAAATAATGAACACAAGTTGAAAATTGGCGGACTCACATTTCCATATTTAAAAATACACTACAAATCTGTAGTAATCAAAAGAATGGTACTTGTATGAGGACAGACATATAGATCAATAATATAGGACTGACAATCGAGAAATAAACTTTATAAGAAGGGTCAATTCATTTTCAACAATGGGGCAGGATAACTCAATGGGGATAAAAAGGCATTTCCACAAAGGGCACTGGGGCCGACCAGTCACCCACGTGAAAAAGAGTGAAGTTGCACCCCAACATCACACACAAATAATTCAGAATGAACCACAGACATAAATGTACAAAGTTAAGCTATAAAACTTCACAACCTTCGGTGAGGAAATTGTTTCTCACATACAATGCTGAAATCATAAACAGCAAATGAAAAAAGAGATAAATTGAACCACTAAACTTTAAACCCCTGTACTGCCAAAGGCACCATCAAACAGTGAAAAAACAATCCATAGAATGGGAGAAAATTTTTGCAAATCAGTTATCTAATAAGACACTTGCAAATATGTAAAAAGCTCATCAATAAAAAGGCAACCCAATTTAAAAATTGGTGAAGAATTTGAGGATCCAGATGAGATATTCAAATGGATAACGAGCACATGAAAAGACGCTGAACATCATTAGCCATAAGGGAAATGCAAATCAAAACCACAATGAAACGCTGCTTCCTATACAATGGCTATGATCCAAAAGACAGGTAAAAACAAGTACTGGTGAGAATGTGGAAAAATTTGAGCTCCCATGTGTTGCTGGTGTGAATGTAAAATGGTGCAGCCATTCTGGAAAACAATTTGACAGTTCCTCCAAAAGTTAAACATGTAGTTACCATATGACCCCCAATTCTACTCCTGGGTATATATTCAAGAGAAATGAAAATATACATTCACACAAAAACTGGCACACAGATGTTTATAGCATTATTCAGAATAGTTCAAAGCTGAAAACAACCCTAACGTCCATCAGCTGATGAGGGGATACTAAACAAATAGGGTACATGCACACAATAAAGAAATACTGTTCTGAAACATGCTACCACGTGAGTGAACCTTGAAAACATCCTAGGTGAAAGGAGCCAGTCACACAAGACCACATATTGTAAAACTTCATTTATAAGAAATGTCCAAAATAGACAAATCCATAGAGGTGGAAAATAAATTTTAGGCTGCCTTGGGCTGTTAGAAGGGAAAGGAAAATAGAGAGTGAATGGTAATAGTTACAGACTTCTTTTCAGAATGATGAAAATATTCTAAAATTA